ACGGGAGACGAGTCGATTCGGCCGGACTCGTTGGGCCGTCTGGAGACGATGTGAGCTGGCCTGGGTCGCTGGCATGGCCGGATTCGGAGCCGGAGCCAAATCCCGATCCGGATCCGGATCCGGATCCGGACTCTGAAGAGGAAATGGATGCTGGGCCGAAAGAGACAGAGGCCGTCTGCCTGGATCGGCTGGCACCAGATCTGGTGGGGCTGGCGGGCCAGTTGAGCAAGGCTAGCATAGACCTCGAGGCCTGGTACCGGCGACAGGGGGTCAATGAGCGCCATCTGATACCAATGCCATGGCAACGGTGGGCGGCCTACTTGCGAGCGAATAAGGAAGAGGTGAGACGGAGCGTAGATAAAAAGGTGAGCAGCCGACAGGAGGGCGTCGGAACCGAGTCTTCACCCGCCGAAGAGACGTTGACAAAAAAAGGCCTCTCACAGTTGGATCAGACGATCCGACGTGATCACCAGTTTGGGGGACTCACAAGCTCCGTCGATTCTACCAACAAGCAGTCTAGCCTCAAGGGATTGCCATGGCGACAACTTGAGTTCTTCAGTCAGGCCGAGGCAGAGCTCTTTCTGGTTCAGCGGTTTTATACCGCCAGTCGGGCAAACACAATCGGCAGGACTGTGCTGCGGGAACTTCTGCGAACGGTGAGTACAGAAGGTCGAATCAGACTCAGGCGAGAGTGTGATTTCGTTGTCATTTATTTAAAGTGTAATACAAGCTAAAATAATGCTATTAATAATTTAAAAAATATTTAATAATGATAATAATAGTAAACCGTTGTGAAATAAGAATTCAGTCAGCCCAGATGGCTTTGGGTGATTTCAGTGGGGATAATGGCGTTTTTTTCTAAAATCAAACCAACACCTCATCATGGCGTTGAAATTCACTCTCTTCTCATTTTGCCTGGTCTGCATTTTAGACTTTGCCCATGTCCCATTAGAAACCGCTTCGACGCATCCTGTTGACACGATACCACTTACAGCAATGAGGCCAGAAATGCCAGTGAGTCACAGAGCAAGCCAGGCCTTTCCAAATTCACATTTCAATGGGACTGTCTATGTAGTAAATACGTAATTGCCAGTACAATAATATGCTACTCATATTATATATAAGTAGTATTGAGCCTATCACAATTTTTTGCATATTAATATAGTCAGTCTAGGTCTGTAAAGGTGAGCTAAGGGCAAATAATGTAGATTTTGTCCCAATGAAATTAAAATTGTAGACTATTCTGGATTATAATGTTTTTTGGGAGGTGGTTCCAAGGGATATTCGATAGCATCGAATCACCTCACTTTGAGCATTCTAGGTTGACTACCCTCTTATTTAGTGCTTATTAAAGAAGTATTTGAATTGTTAGTCTACTAAAGACCATATAACTTGTTAATGCTTGCCTGTCTTAATGCAAATCCCTTAGGCCTGAAAAGAACACAATCCATTGAGGTTCCAGGAGATCTGGAAGCTTACTGGCTTGAGACGACCATTATGGTACTGCTTCAACTTTAATCACAAATAAGGTCACACAAAGATTATTTTTAAGATGCTAGCATTCATTTGAGACTATACCAATTTGAAACTGTCTCATCCAGTCTCATCACTACTCCCTAGTGAGGTCTGAACAAAGAATGTGTGAGAGGTGTAGAGAAATTAATCTTATAACAAACTTAAACCTTAATGTGTATTTTGGAGAATAGAGCAGCTAAAGGCTCATGCAGAAAGATAATAAAGTAATGTGTAGTGTCAACTACTTGTGAAGAGAGACTAGAAAAAGATAATAAATTTAGATATTATCAATATAT